ATCTATCCTTCACCATGCATAGGTACAGTTTCAGCTGTTGTTCGAACAAAATTGCAAGAAATAATTTTCATTACATTTCAGTTCCTTCGCTATGAAATTCGTCACTGCGATCTGATGTTTACAGAAATTCACGAAAGTTTCCTCAAATCATATCTAGATCTGGAATGGTAGAAAGCATTTTCCCAGATAATATCAGCGCTGTTAGCTGTACATTTTTATTCGTTTCCATTCCAAAATAAAGTGAAAATCTATATTGATTTCAATGACACACAACAACATTATTTCAATAAGTGTGGATGTTCGCGTTCAATTTCCTCACGGGACCAATAAGATGACTGCGTTCCTTTTCGTTGGACAGATAACGCCGCTATCTCGGCTGCTTTTCGAATCGCATCTGGCACTGAAAGCTCTTCACAAACCAGAAAGTAAGCCAATGATCCGCAGAAGCAATCGCCGGCACCCTGAAAATGGCATTTATGCTTATCATTCGTACCATTTCGGAAGAACACTTGATGAAACCAGTTCTTTTTACGTAAACAGTTCTTGGCACAACAACAAGGTCCAGCCACATAGCAATTAACCGATGCGACTGATAATATAGTGTAGTTCGCTGCGGACGGTTGGGCGTGTCAGGCGGGATGAGTTTGGCGCGGTGCCAAACCCGTTCTCCACCAGTTGTTAAAGCGAGCAAGTGATATGACTGTATCACATCATTACTCGTTTTCTACCACTTTTCTCGCATGCGCGCTTCAACAAGGAGGCGGTTTTGACGGCGTGATACACTCATACTGCCTGACACGCCCAACCTTACGTCGCGAACTAGAGTGTACTTGCCTAAAGTTATGATCCCATTCCCTGTCGCAACGTTCTGAAGGCTAATTTTTGCAATTATGATTATTTGATTATTATGGTTTTGCAACCCATTCAAAAAGAAACGGATATCCCCAAGATCAAAATTTTAGCGCTCTACATCATTTTCGGATCACCATCAAATTTTCCAAAGTGCGACAATGACGCAGAGTCTCATTACGGTCGCTTGCCCCGTCGGGTGAAGCTGTTTCGCAGCAGACACTGGGACATGTCAGGGCCTAGGTTTAGCTTGACGCCAGCCCAATCTCAAGCGATCGTTGAAGCGGGCAAGCGGCCGTGGACCAGCCAAAAACCCGTCGATTCACCACGCTTTACAAGGTGGTGAGAATCACGCTCTACGCGGCTGCGATTGTGCCAAACACGGATGGAAGTCGAAGGGAAGCGATTACACAGTTTCTAAGTGTCCCTTTTCGATTCACGTACTGTTGCACAATGCTCTGAGGACTGCGGCACTCTCCTTGCCCAGCGTTTAAAGCGCGAGTGGCGACATTCAGAATCGTTCCCAGCAGTCTACTGTTACTCCGAGCGCTGTTACTCTCGGCTGCTTCGCTTCCCACGCACGTTAAGAGGGTGCATTACGAGGGGGAGGGGTCGTACACTGAAAAATTTTGCCGAACGGCAAGACGTTCGCTTGATGGTGAAGCTCCAATCCGCCGGAGAGGGGCCGACGCCCTGATGACCACTAAGTGTTTACTTGTTTTTTAGTAAATTCGGCCATTCGGATAAAATGAAAGCGTCTATGAATTACCGTAGTATCGACAGCTTTCACTTTCTTCACTGGGATGTGCTCAATTTTCTCCTTTCCTTTCGATGCCAACAGGACACCTAAATCAAAGAAGAGGTGAATAAGCAGCTTTTTACACGAATACGGGGTTCATTAAAAAAACCCAGGATGTAACCAAACGAGAGATGATTGCATGAGAGTCGAACCTTTTGCACCAAGCGTGACAATAGCGTATTCTGGTCCCATAGTAGTCATCTGCGCTGCAGCTTTTTCGGCATCCTCCATAGAATTTTGAGGGATGTTAGTGATGAATTCGGCCTGAGAAACGAGAACTACTCCCAAAAAATGTTGGATGGGCCACAATAAGCTACAAATGGTCACCTCGTTTTCGTTTGTGCAGATGATATCAGTAAGCGCCACCATCGACATGTCTGTGTCTCGTTCCCCAGGTGCCGGATTGAAGAACGTTCTCACTGAAAGGTTCGTTTAACTTCACTCTGCGTACAGTCTTGTTCGCTGTGGATGCTGGAGGCGTGCCAGGGGCTGTGTCTGGTGATGCACCAACCCATTTCCCACCAAATTTGGTCGCTTGCTCGCTTTCACGGTTATTGGAGAAAAGGTTGGCTTCGCGTTGAACAAAGCTCCCTGACACGCTCCAGCATACGCGCGCCGCGAAATCGCGAGCACAACCGCAGCTGCATATCTCCAGCAGTTAGAGATGTGACGAAAAGTGAGTTAAGGAGTGCATCGACAAATGCTCGCGCCGTTCGCGTTGTTCTGTGAGTACGTCTATGCCAGAATCGGCCACTGTATTACGCCGACTCATAACCAACTCCAAGGACGTTCCCTTTACCAACGCCGAGGTATGACCTGCACCTACCTCCATGTTTCTTTGCCAACTCGAATGCTCGCTTGTTTCCTTCCCGCGATACTTCTGCTTGAGTCATCACAAGAGCGGCTTCACTGATGGCTTTTTCATGCCGCTCAGCACAGACATCGTCCAACTCCATATTTGCACCCAGCGTCACCACAATCGTGTTTTCGCCTGCAAGCAAGAGTTTATTGAGATGCATGCTTTTTCAGAAAACTCCTTCGTAAAGCACTGACGAAAGCGCAAAGCGTTGTGAAGTGAGAGGCTAACAAACCGTGGGCATTGACAGTAATGGTTGCTGTAGCTGTGTGACTGCTTTCGGATTTCTCCACTTGACTTACATCTACTCCGGCTTTTCGCAAATTTTCGATGTTTGACTCACCAAACGAGTCGTTACCAACCTGTGGAATGATCCTACTATATATAATCGCTGTGTGTGTGTGTGTGTGTGTGTGTGTGTGTGTGTGTGTGTGTGTCACGAAATTCATAGCGAGCGTCGCAGAAAAGATAGGATGACAGTTCCAAGAAGTGATATACATGGCAGGACGGGAACACTTTTGGTGGGTGTCAGGAGGTGATAACACTTGATAAGATACGATAAGGGGCCGTAGAAGGGGAGGGTGACCGAAATCGTAGCGCAATTTGCAGCAGCTGCAGGACCGTGATTTCAAGAAGTGATATACATGGCAGGACGGGAACACTTTAGGTGCGTGACAGGAGGTGATAACACTTGATAAGATTCGATAAGGGGCCTTAGAAGGGGGGTGACCAACATCTAGCGCAAGTTGCAGCAGCTGCGGGACCGTGATTTCAAGGAGTGATATACATGGCAGGACGGGAACACTTTTGATGGGTGACAGGAGGTGATGACACTTGATAAGATTCGATAAGGGGCCTTAGAAGGGGAGGGTGACCGAAATCGTAGCGCAATTTGCAGCAGCTGCAGGACCGTGATTTCAAGAAGTGATATACATGGCAGGACGGGAACACTTTAGGTGCGTGACAGGAGGTGATAACACTTGATAAGATTCGATAAGGGGCCTTAGAAGGGGGGTGACCAACATCTAGCGCAAGTTGCAGCAGCTGCGGGACCGTGATTTCAAGAAGTGATATACATGGCAGGACGGGAACACTTGTGGGTGACAGGAGGTGATAACACTTGATAAGATTCGATAAGGAGCTTTAAAAGGGGAGGGAGGCGGCTAATATACCGCGACCCATATGCCGATTTGTACAAGTTGCAGCAACGGCGGGACCATGATTTCAAGTACTGATATGCCGTAGGGTGGGGCTGGCAGAAGCTGATAACAGTTGATAAGATCCGATAAGGGGCCTCGGAAGAGGAGGGTCATCAAATTTCGTGGGCATCGAAAATTACCAGCAACAGTGGGAACTCAGATCCGTGAGGTGATATAGGGTGTGGGACGGGAACATTATTGGCGGGCGACAGAAAGTGATAACAGTTGATAAGATACGGTAAGCGGCCTCGGAAGGGGAGGGTCATCAGATTCGTAACGCAGGTTACAGCAACAGGTGGCGAACCTCGGAGCCGAGAGGACGATATACAGGGGTGATATGATAGTGATACGGGACGGGAGTGTTATTGGCGGGTACGGAAGTGATAGGAGCTAAAATTGACAAGGTAGCATGGGAAAATCCGCTTCACCGCTCACAACAACAATGCGATCGATATGACTCAAGTATAACGATCTCAGTGATTCCAACAGAACTCATTCCTCACTGCTTATTAGTAACGACATCATGTACGACCGCTAAGCTAGCTCTATTCCGAATGCATGTGGTTTGTTTACAGAGATGTTATGAACAGCAGCAAGTGACTTTATCACTCTTACCACAATTATCTTCCATCAGCAACTTCAGTGAGGGCCATTTAAAGGTTCCACTGCTGAATGCGGTAGTGCATTCCAAAGCAAGACGCTTTAGGAAGACAGATTGCATAAATTATAGGCTGCTTCAGTGGCTGTCCAAACAGGCTGCACTATTTCCGTGTAGGTTATGAACGTACCAGTCGGATCGCTGGCTAAGGCCGGCTTTCCTCCTTCTGTGCTGCGGGGACCTGCTGCCTGCTTCTTTGGCCTTGACGGAACAAGCGTGCTTTTCAGTTCTTTGCTGATGCAGAAGAAATTTCGTCTTTAGTCTTGTCAAGCGAGGGTGGTGGAGATGCGTCACACCGATCGCTTCAACTTAGCTACGCGGCCAAATCGCATGGCCCGGCGAACCGGGCCATGATATACACGGAAGGGGAGGGGAGGAGCGCCGGTCGAGAGCTGCCAGCAGGCGGTGGCGATCCGACTGGTCTAAAGTAAATTTACGAGCCAATGGTATCAGTTGATTATTTGGGATTCATTGAAGTAGACTCCGCGACGAAAGAAGAAACTGTTTCTGTTTGAGTAGCTTCAGAAGGCCACATGTATAGAATTGAACTTTAAGTGAAAATGGCATATATGGACTGAGTCCCTGTTTTCTACCAGGGTTAGGTAACAATGTATTTCTCACTGACAGAGAACATCAAAAAGACTCCATTCGTTGGCCGACAGAAAGACGAGTTTGCTATACGGCTAGACTGCTAATCAGCACGTCCTGCCGTTGGGGAAAATTTTTGCCAAATACGACTCCCCTCGAAGATCTTTTGGTACGACCAACCTCCCCTCCCCCACATCCTATCTCACCTACCATCTTCATGAATTTGTCCGACATTCCCAGAGTCTTTTCGAAAAACTTCTCCAGTTTTTCACCAAACAACTGCCGTCGAGCAAGGGAGGTTATATGGCACCACCTGATGCAGGAGAACCGAGCCGAAAACATTTACGTCGAAGGCAAATTCGACCCCTTTTTCGTCCCAGCGAACAAATACGATCTCCTCGTTGGTAATCTCCAAAGTAATGACGTGCTCTGACTGCAGTATGGATCTACTCTCGGTACAAATGTTGTAGGCCGTAATGGGAATGCGCGTTGAGGAATAGAAGGTTTCCAAGACTTCATGATCAACACTTTCCCTTAATGGTAGCTTTCGGACGCTGATGCTGCCCATGTCCGTCGCAGTGGAAGTGAACGGTTGGGGTCTTCTGGACCTGGGTATGATGGTGCTTATGAATAAGAAGGGCAACAGCAGGCGCTACCAGCAGAGGCCTACAAGGCGCATGAAAAGCGTGCAGCATTATGGGCAATTCATGCCATGTAAGAAATGCCTTCGGCGC